ATTAGAAACATGAGAAGAGAGTGGAGAAGGAAGAGAAACTTGAGAAAGGGCATCAACATCAACCATAAAACTCCCAAAGTGATGAACAACATCAAAATCATATATTTGAAGCTTCAAAGCCCATCGAGCAATACGACCCACTAGGTTCTTTCACTTCAATAATGAAGTAATAGCAGCATGGTCACCTTCAAGTAATGTCCGGAAACCATATAGATATGCATGAAGTTTCTCGAAAGCCCAAACTATTGCTAAACACTTTTTCTCTGTCGTGGAGCAGTTCATCTCCGCTAGTTATATGTACGGCTTATATATGCAATGGGATGGCACTAACCAAGCACACTCAAACTCTCTTGCATTAACACACCTCCAAGACCAATGTCAGAAGCATCCACGCATAAAATAAAAGGTTGAGTATAGTCAGGATATGCCAAAACCGGAGGAGTCGTCAATAGCTCTTTGAGATCCCTGAACACCCGCTCACAATCTAGAGACCAGATGAAAGATGACATTGATGACTTCAGCAATGCTTGCAACAGTGCAATGCGATCAGAAAGATGATCCACATAACGACAGAGATCTACACCTTGCCCAAGAAGCGTTGCACATCATTCACACACTTTGGAGTAAGGAACTTTAGAACAGCCATAAGTTTTTCAAGATCAACTTGCAAACCCTCACGAGAAATACAATACCTAAGATAAGTTGTGTCCTTGGACCCAAACACCCACTTCGACCGCTTCAGCTTTAAACCAACGTTGCGTAGCCGATCTAACACTTTACAAACATCACAAATGCGCTCCTCCCACATCCCCTCCGAGTGGATCAAAACATCATCAATGAAGTCAATAGTCACCTCTGGCATATCGCAAAGAACCTTGTCCATTATCCGCTGAAAAGTTGTTGGAGCATTGTTCAAACAAAACGGCATCACCAAGAACTCGTACAAACCAAATGGTGTACGAAAAGTAGTCTTAGGAATATCTTCTTTGACCATCGGTACTTGCCAGTACCCAGAAGCAAGATCTAGCTTGGTGAACCAACGACTTCGCCTCAGACAATCCAAGAGATCAGTAGTGTGAGGAAGAAGGTACACATTCATGATCGTCACTTCGTTTAACGGATGATAGTCGATGCAGAAATGAATACTCCCATCAGGCTTCGTCACAAGATGAGGTTCACATGCCCAAGGACTCCACGACTTCCGAATAACACCCATCGCCAACATCTCTTTGACGTTTGCACGTAAAATTTTGATCTCCTTGGGTGATCGACAACGAACAAGAACCTTGATTGGACGAGCATCCCTAGTTGGAATCGGATGATGTATGGCAATCTTGGCCCCAGATGATAAATCAAATTCAAAGAGATCATGAGCTGGTCAACCGCTGCAACACAAAGATCATTGGAGGGATCGGAAAAGGAAAGAGCAGAACAAGATGGAAACACATGAGGAAATAGTGTGGGAACAAAAGTAATGGAAGCAGAGGTAAAAGTAAAGGGATGAAGAGGTACGGAAGTGAGAGGAATGGATGAAATATAAGTAAGTATGAAATAAGGGGGAGAAGCCTCAAAGTCACATTTGGCATGATTGCGTTGCAACCAATCCATACCAAGAATGAGGTCAAAAACTTGACTTGGCACCATCCGCAACGACTACAACTCAAGCTCAAAATTGCCCACACGCACAACTAGGTCTGCCTCATCATGTGCATATGCATGTATACAGCTGTTGCCATAAAGAATGAAAACTTGTTCTGCCGCATGAAGCAAGTGTAGACAACAACGTGTGGCAATAGGTCAAACAATAGAAGATAAACTTGAACCTGTATCAACCAATACGGAGAGAATAATAGGAGACCTTGTGTTATGAAAACAAACTTGGAAAGTAAACATTGGATGAATCGGTGCTAAGTGAACCCCTTGATGATACTCCCGAAAGAAAGATGGAGGGGTCACTAACTTATTCGCGCAAGGTTCCTCCATTACTCGCGCGACTCCTCATTTCCTAGATGCACCGCGGTGTTCAAACCTTCCACTGCTTGCTGACGCCAAGGTCTCCACCAAGGAAATGGAGGTCGCCAATTCGGAAAACGCCAACAACGCCAATAAGTATGACCAACTTCATCACACGCCCAGCAACGAACGTCACAGCCACGACCACATCCTTGCCCTTGTCCTTGGACTCGAGCAGCAGCAACATCAACCTCTATTGGAATAGGACCATCACTCATAGGAAGTGGAGGTGAAATACGTGTAACGAGAAGTGGAAGAGGCGACGTTTCATAACATTGTGCCAAGTAAAGAGCATTGTCAAAGGTGGCAAGAGCAAGTGCATGCACAAGTTTGATAAAATCTTGACGAAGTGTTGGCCACAACATTCCTAGCTTGATCCACTCCGACATATTGGGCTCTGCACGAAGGAAAAGACTTCGGAAACAAACTCTAAATTGCATCACCAACTCAAATGGCCCTTGCAGAAGATAATGCAATTGTTAGAAGGCATCATCACAATCGTCGGCATGTCCAAAGTCGCATTTGAAGACGTCCAGGAGAACACTCCAATCCCCATGAGTGGCTACACTCAAACCATTGTACCACTGCAACGCCATCTCTTGGAGACACATGGGAAACTCACGCAAACGTCGAGCATCATCCCAAGAATGATATATGGCAATCACCGTGAAGTGATCGAACCAATGGTACACATCATCCCCAGGATTCCCGTGAAAGAACTCCGGCAGAACATGAGGATTGGCACCAAGAGCAAAAGGAGTTGTACCACATGTTGTGAATGCCACCATCAATTGAGTTTAGTTGTTCAATTGCAAGCACATAGCATCAAACAATTGGACCAACTACTGCTCCAAAGTCAAAGGAGGAGATTGCTAATCTACCATGAAAATCAACGAAAAAAGAAAGAGCAAAAGAAAAGAAATGACAAAAAGCTAGAAGGAAATGGTAAATCTAGACAATGCAAAAAGCTAAATCTAAACCAAAATCTTGAAAGGGAAAAACAAAAGAAAAGAAATGGAAAAGCTAGATCTAGACAATGCAAAAGCTAGATGTAAACCAAAATCCTAAATTTCAAGGACAATCAAAAGTGCTCCTCACCTCCACCAATATAAGTGTTTGGAATATAGAAAGGGAATACAAAAAATATGTATATCAATTAACCCAAAAACCCTAGATATTTTTAGATATTTAAATATTTCTTGTTGTAAGTGCTTGGAATATGGAAAAGGAAGCCCAAAAACCCTAAGTTATATATAAGAGGAAATGGTCCAAATTGAAATCAATTTGACAGTTACTAAAATCCCATTATATTAATATTAATATACCACATTATAACCATACATTTGGACCTCACATCTCTATATATAATGATGAAGATAGATCTAGACTGAAAGTCAAATAAAGAATCAAAAACAAAGAAAAAAGTCAATTAAGATAGCATAACTTTAAGAGTGACCAGATCCAAGTGCTTTTCTCTTCTGCACTTGTAACTCTAGGATCTTCCCTTCCAGCAACGCTTTCTGCAATTGCAGCTTCCGTATTTCATCCTGTTTCAGTGTAGCATTAGCTAGAGAGCAAGAAGAAGAAAAGATAGAAGCAAGCTCTACCTTGTATCTGTCCCGATCGTCACTAGCTTTCGAGAAAGCTTCCCAAATAGCACCTTCACAAGAAGGGAAGTGTATTCTTTGGCTGTAAACCATGTCCAGAGCTTGGGCACCACCGTAAGTTAGCTCCTGCTCGAAGTTGTCCATCTCCTCTTTGGGCCTGAAGAGACACAGATAAATCGGCCACCCGAAGCGTATCCAAAAGTTAAAGAACACGAGGCAGCATGTTGAAAACGTTAGGGCGCATCTGCCAGGGATAGTATCGCTAGTTATCGTCACATCCGCCATGCTGGAGAGCATGATAATGACGATAGTCACAGCCAAGTAGTCCACAGTGTCCCTGTACTCGGTAGATAGCAGTGGATCCTCCTGGTTGCGCAGCTGATAGATGACGAAGATGAGCACCAGCCAGTATGGAGTATACACGGAGAAGACGGTGGTTTTCCAGTTCTTGCTTAGCTTGCACAACCGAACGCTGGCATCAAGAGCAATCAGTCCGAGAGAGAAAGAGATGAAACATCGCAAGCCATGAACTGTACCTTCTCTCGTGTTCATGGAAGTCACTCAAGCTAGCAACGGTGGACAGGATGACGTTGGGAAGCAGGCACAGGGCGACGAAAACGTAGTATTTCCACGACCAGTTGTCGATGTTCTTGCTGAGCTCGTACATCCGAGCAAGCCGGAGAATAGTGAGCACGAACCACAGGCAAATAGCCGTCCCCTGGAGCCAGAACGTCCACAGCAAGCAGCTCCTGAGCGGCCCGATCCTGCTGAAGTGGTCATTGTTGACGAACTGGGCTGCTATCCAGACTAAGCCCGCTAGCGAACTCCCTAAGATGAGATACACACCTCCCTGCGCTCGAAAGTAGGAGCGCCCGCGATGGGCGAAGAGCGCGCCATTCGCCACGATGAATGGAATTGTCGCGGCCAAAGCAAATGCCAGGAGTGTGAAGTCGTAGGGAGTGTCTGGATCACTGGGCACCACTTTCATGTAACACCCTTGGTTGCAACATCCAGACGCCATGGACGAGGAAAACTTGCTCGATCTCTATCTGTTCTTCCAGCCCTCGTTCTTGACTTTCTCAACCCGAGATTATTAATTCTTTATCACCTCTTGGTCCTGGAACTTTGCCTGGTCTCGTAGATCACGGATCCATCGAAGCAGCTCATGGGCTTCGAGCTTCTGGATCTCATCCTGCAGCGCCTTTTTATTATGCAATCCAAAACTTGATCTGCCTCCCACACAGCTCCCTCGGACGAAGGGAAGTGGAATCTCTGGCTTTGGCTCGCGCAGCGGAGCTGCTGCTCGAACGCATCCATCTCTTCCCTGGGCCGCAAGAGGCAGAGTGTTGAGTTTTTAAGGGATCGACCGGCACGCGGCTTTCTACCATTTAAAGAATATCCATTTCATTTAAATCAGGGGTGTGTGGTAAAGGCATGGCCTTGGTCAATCCATGGCCTTGCTGCTCCTGTGCGACAAGGATCCTCCTAGCTAGAAATCCAGGTAGTGTGCATACATATCCTTTCCAATTCTATGCAGGTGAAAAGACCATTCTTCTGCCCAAGCACAAGAAATTCATTCTTAGAACATCTCCAACGAATCAACCACAAATTATCAGCAGCAACAGCAGCAGCAGTTCCTCGGAAGATGCTCCTCCACCCGGATGCAGCAGAGTCAAAGTGGAGCTAAGAAAACCTTTGGGTCTGTATATCTAAGGAGAAGAACAAGCAACAAACACTCCTCCATTTCTTATTTTGATGTTTCATTTCGAACAGGCATGATCCTTGAGGAGGACGCTGCGGGCAACATTTTCGTGGCCGAAGTTTCACCAGGAGGCAACGCAGAGAAGAGTGGCCTGGTAGAAGTCGGCGACCAGCTGATTGCAACGAGCGCGGTTGTCTACGCGGATCAAGAGGTCTACCAAGGCGTCACCGTTCGCAAAGGAATGCAAGTCGTCCGCTTGAACGTCCGAGGTGAAAAGTTTGAAACGGTGCGTCAAAGTCTTCTTTATTTGGAATTTTCTCCAAATAAGTTCTGCTCGACAGGTGATCGCTGCCATTGGCACCCATCCCGGCTACATGACGGTACGTAGAAAATATCTGGATCTTCGTCCATGAAAAGAATCGCTGTTGTCAATACTGTTCTTCGCACGTTACAGGTTGCGCTGGAGCTCCAAAAATGCAAGCCGAGGAATGACAATGGCGGGTTGAGATCCGGTTGATCGGATCAACTGCCAACTTAACTTAGCTCCCGCTGCTGTCTACTAAATCAAAAATACCACGCAGCACGAACCGCGGCAGGAAAGACCATTGCCTCGTGTCTTGCAACGATGTCACCCCGCTGAGAACGAGCACAGAATCAATCCCAGCCTAGAAAAACGGAAAACGTTTAGAATCTGTGTTTCGCTGAATAAAGTCGATCTTACCTCAAGGCCGCCTAGAATATCGGTATCCATCCTATCGCCGATAATTACAGTCTCTACTCTTTTTGTTTCGAGCACTGATAGAGCGCTCCTCATCATCAGTGGATTTGGCTGTAAGAAAAAGGTTTCAGTCATCCAATCCATGTTTTCTAGGACTTTATACCTTTCCAACAAAATAAGCGTTCACGCCAGAGGCCTTCTCAATGGGAGTTATCAATGAACCAGCAGCTGGTATGACCTGAAAGTTACTTAAGTTAGCTTTCGTTTGTTCCTAGTTATACACAAGCAAACATTCTACCTCTCCTGGATAAGCAGGGCTGGGATCCGTTTTATCGCAGTTCGTTCCTATAAGTTTAGCGCCATTTAGAACCAAATGCACGGCGTGTTCTATTTTCTCATAGCTGTAAATTCCACTCTTACATAAAAGCAAGAACTTCAATGGCTTCGTTTCTTACCTGTAGTTGCGTGTTTCGCCGACCACAACATAGTCCGGGTTAACATCGTTCATAACATATCCACAAGCGTAAAGCGCCTGCAAGTCACCCTTGAGCTTTTTTCCGATCTTAAATTCAGATTTTACACGTACCTGATGAAGACCCGGATCTCCGATGACGTAAGCACTGCCTTGCGGCTTTTGGCTTGTAAGAAAGGCAGCTGTTGCCTGAAAAGAAAACTGTGAGTTTTAGCTGGACACGTAGAAACTAAAAGGCTTGCTTACCATTGCTGAAGTGTAGAAATTAGATCCGTGAGAAACAACGCCGAGACGAGAGAGCTTTCTGTGTAGCTCGTCTGGCGTCTTGTCACTGGAATTCGTAAGAAAGACGAAACGCTTTCCATGATCGTTGAGCCACGCTACAAACTGCATTGAGGATTGACGGGTGGCATTAGCACATATCGTCGAGGTGGACTTCGAGCACAAAAACACGTAGAAGATTTTCAAAAGGAAACTAGCTACTAAAAGGAGAAGTAACAACCAGAGAAAAAGAGGGGAGAACATTACCTCATTGACGCCTGGAAGCAAATGATCGCCACGATAAATCACTCCATCCATGTCGATGATAAATCCTTCTTTGGCAAGGACTCTTCTCCTCGCCTCTCGGATGTAAGCCGCGTCGGGCCAGGGCAGCTGTTTGAGATGCTCCAGGCGAAAATCCTTTTGATTCTCTCGCGGGGTATCGGTCGCCTCCTTGATCCGCCGCTGGAGCTCCATCGAGGGAGGATTTAAATCCAGCGATCCCACATTTGCGGCCGATGATGCTGCTGCTGGCGCTGTTCCACTGCAATGGCGAGAGAATCGATCGATCAATCGTCCGAAAGTAAAAAGAAGAGAACGACAAACCTCATCGCAGAAACCCTACACGTAAAAAAGAGAATGAGTGGTGGAATTATATGCCCACTAAAAGGAAGGAGATTCCCTCAGTTGTGGGGGATATTCGCGGCAAATCCCATCCGTTCTTATAAACTGGGGATATTCTCCACGAATCTCAGCCGTACGGGGTTTTTAAACAGGGCGATGTGTTCTTGGTTTTCTTGGTTTGCTGCGACAGGAAGAAGACGGGGGAGACGAGCACGCGATGGCGATGCTTTGCGAAAATCTCTAGCGTCACGATCGCATAGATAGATTCTAGGTAGTGGCGCCGTGCGGGATCGAAGGATCTCTCTGGAAAATCGCGCAGAACGGTAGAATCCAGGGATCCCGCGAGAGATTTCGCTGCCATGGCAACGCTGACGAGAGGGATTTCGTTCCGGCGGCAGGGATCGTCGGGGATGAGCTGGGCGGAGAATTGGACATTCACGGATCAAGGTATGTTCCGGAAGCAAGATCAAGATCCGGCCGGGATGGAGCACCCGGCGGCGCTGGGACAGATTTCGGCGATCTCCGCGACGATCGATCATGGCGACGCCAAGGCCACCGCGCAGCTCAGCCGCAGCCGCAGCGTGGGCAGCGTGGGCAGCACCGCCGGCACCGCCATGCAAATCTTCTCGCCCGTGCTGGAGCTCAAGGATCATCACAGTCTCTCCAAGTCGACCAGCACAAACACGACCGGCGCGGCGACGCCAGTGGTGGAGCTCAAGCCCCCGATTAAATCGTGCCCGGCCGCTACCGGCAAGAGCAAGGGATTCAGCGTCATCCGGTGGCTCAAGAAGCGATTTGGAATCTCAAAGTGAGTGACCTTCTCGATTGAATTTCTCTCTAGAGCTTCCCCTCTCACGATTTCTCGGCCCATTGATTGTTCCAGGAGGATAGGAGCTCGAATTTAAACTCATTGTCGTCGTGACAAGTAAGTCCCGCGACCACCATTCCTTGTTTCTTCTCTCGAGAAGAAGAATTCTTTTTCTTTCTCGCTAGTTTGGTTCGTTGCTATGGTTTTAAGAGCTCTCACACCATCATTGCAGGGGGATGGGTGCGCAAAGTCTATAGTTTTTCGGGACGAATCAGGAGAAGGTATCGTGAAATCTATATTAAAGCTAGCAAGCTCAGCTCGCACAGGGAGGCAAAGAAGGAAGAACACATTGCTTGGAAGCAAAAGGGGATCGATCGATCGATCTCTATAAATTCTTCTTTTCTCTCCCCAGGAGATATTCTACTTTGGGTTGGTGTGGCAAACACAAAGCTATGGACCACGCGGAGGCCCCCCGCCTGCAGCAAATTTTGTCTGGATCCTTAAAGCCTGCACAGATGAGAGAAAAGAAAACGACCATCCGAACGATTTGGATCACTGCGAATTGGATTACTCGGTGAGGGAGTCAGAGTCACAGAATCACGGTCAAAGCTCTTTTTGTAATCCTTCTCATGGTTTTCTGTGTTCTTTCGAGGCAGGGAAAGCGTACAAGCCAGCCAGCCAGCCACTCCGTTATAGAATTAACAGCGACAAAGTTGTAAGGTCTTTACAATGTTTTTATATTTTATCTTTCCAGTCGATTGTCCATCCAGCTCTGCGTACTCCTAAAGTTTTCTCTTTTTTTTTTTCATTCTGGTACTATGTACAATGCCTACCTACAAGAGCGAAGTGGAAATACAAAACGGAGAAAGCGAGCGAAGAGACGGGGCCTGATCTCTCCAGGTTTGCAATGCAGCGCAAGTGTTCTGGGAAAAAACAAAGGGACAGCCTCTAAAGTTACACACGGAGAAATCGCATCAACAAACGAACGAACGATCGATCGACTTACACCCAATCAATCACTACGCTTCCTCCTCGAGATGGCGGTGGACTTCGTTCTGGCTGTCCAGAGGCATGTACTGCGCCATGATCGCTCTAATCTCCGAATCCATATAAGACTGCCAACCAGCAGCCACACAGCTCAATACCAACCGGAATGAATGCCAGAGAGATCACGTACCCGGATTCTATACTTGTAAATAACGTAGCCAACAGCTCCAACAACGGCCAAGCCCGCCAGAATAAAGAATGTTGCTGACCATCCTACTCTCGTAACACTTATTTTACCTGGGAAGAGGACAGGGATGAGCCAAAACAAAGGAGGAGAAATTCGGGAAGGGATTTGACTCACTGATGCAAGTGTCGTGCTCTTTGATGTAGAGGAGATTTCCGTCGCACTGGCAGTCATAACTCCCCCATGTGTTCTTGCAGTGGCATTCCTTACACTGACAGGCGAGCTTGCTCTTGCATTCATCGACATCTAGAAAAGCATATAACAAACACGTTAGTACTTTGAAGGTTGGCCAAAGCGCTGGCAAAGAAGTGCAAGACAAGATGCCTTTGTCTCACCCTCGCACTGGTTCACTCCGTCGCCCCTGAAACCGGCGGGGCACTCGCAACCTTTTGTATGCGTTTCCTGAAACGAGACGATGCCAAAGCGGTCAGACAAGAAAAACGGAAACTCTCTCGTCGGAGAGAGTATTCTAACACCTGACAGGCCGAGTGACGCACACCATCTCGCGTGTCGTGCCAGCAACCGCCATTGTCGATCTTGCACCGTAAAGAGCCAACAGCTGCGAGCGAAATCAGTGTCAGTTAAGTTAGACCCTCGGTTTGAGCTACGCACCTTCGCAGTGGCTATAACCATCTCCGTCAAACTGCACACCTTGCACCACGGGGCACTCACAAACTCGGCCCCGGAAGGTATCCTGAACCACAACAGAGACGATTCAGTGGTCCATAGAGCTGGAAGCAGAACCTACCTTGCATGCAGTGACATTGGTTTTTTTATTTTCCCAACACCCCCCATTGTTCGTCAAACACTCATTCGTTTCCATTCCTGTGTAGCTCGTTAAATTAGTTTTCAGGCTAACCATCGAATCAACAATAACACCATACCTTCACTTAGGCAGACAGCCGGCTCAGTAGTCTCTTGAAAGCCAGCACACACTGCTTTCAGCACCGCTCCTTTGTCTAGCTTCCCTCTATACTGCCTATTATTGATGATCAATGTAGGAAGCATTGTAACATCACTGCGGCTACCATGTCCCACCTGAGTAAAAAATTTCAATAGGGATCCTCGAATCGTAAACTTAAGCCTCTTACCTGCGCATCTTGTTCTTCCTTCAACACTGTATTCTCTGAATCAGCCTCAGGGTTTCCCATGCATTTCTGCACTTTATCAATCGGCAAGCCTGAAATGAAACTCATGTAAGTGAGCCGCGAAAAGGAAAATGTATGCAAAAAACTTACGCAACGACTTCAAGACTTCCTCGGCACAATCCTTGTTATACTTCTTATCCTTCATCGGACACCTGATCTGAAAGTCGGTCACGTAGTCCCACCACACCCACGAACGCTTCATCTCAGTGGCGACCTTGTGGACGCAAAGCTGCCTCAAATTCTCGACCACCACATCCTTTCCATCGTACCCATGATTGAAGTCTTGTTCCGGATCAGGAGCACAGTAGCGGCCATGGTTGATGCACTGAGACTTGCACTGCTTGCTGAGTATAAACGCGTCGGGGCAGTACCATGTGATGTAGTGAGGAGTAAACTGCGTGTATCCCTTCTGCTCGAGAATCTGTGCGGCGCCTTTAAAGTTCTTGACAAACTCCCGCTGCGCCTCACACTTCGGTCCACACTCGTCATTGCTGTTCGTCCAAAACTCGTACTCCACGCGGTCGTCTGGATGAGGCAATGACTCTCGCCAGTCGAGATTGATGTTCACCATGTCCTTCGCTTGGAGAGCTGCCTTGAGCTTGTCCCCGAACGATTTCTCCACCAATGCAGACGGTATAGTTATGTTTTGGACGTACTCCGCGGAAACGTTATCTTCCTCCGGAGAATCCATAGTGATCAGTGGCTCAGTTTTGTCGTCCGCTACAAGAACCGCAGCAGCTCCCGCGAGCTGAGCGTGCCATACCTTCAATGCAAAGTAGCAATCTGGAAGAAGAAAAGGAAATGAACTTCATCCACTAGCCAAACAAAAGAACCGATTTTGCTTACCTCCTCTATCCACGAGCAAAACTGTGGGAAGGCCTCCACTCTTGAGGCCTTTGAAAGTGATGCCAAACTCCGAGAAATTCCGGCATGCCGTGGCGCCCTTCTCTGGATAGACTACATTTCCGACCATACTACCCCCATACTGCGGCACGCCAAAATTCCCTATGGCACTATCGTATGTACCTTTGATGCTGTCAGGCGTGGTAATGCTGATGCTATTCTTCTCCACTAGAAATTTCCCCCAGCACGACGTCGTGAAGATCAAGACCGCAATTGCGAGGGCCGGAAGCACTCTTCCGCGGCCGCGACTCATCCTGGAGCGCCTAGGGTTGGAAACTCCTACGAATCACGGCGATTCTCCTCAGCAGATCGATGCCGCAGCTCCGATCTTCGCGATTTCAGGAGCGCATCGGCTTGATTGAAATCGCAAAAGAATAGACGGCAAAACCCTACTCATGACGAAGGAGAATGATTTCCACGTGGGTCTAGGATCAACGGCTGACATCACTACTACAATGTAGAGCGTTGATTCTCTAGATTCGACATTTAGGGTTTGGGTAGAGGAGCGAATCCATGGCGGCAGCAGTGAGCGTAGCCGCGACGCCAGTTCCTTCGATCGCCGGGCCTGTAAGTGAGATTTTGATCGTTTGACAGGACTTCTGGGGATTTTCTCTGGTGTTTTAGGCGGATCTCGTGGAATTCGTGGACTGGTCCATGGTAGAATGCCTAAACGAGAGCGCAAATCACACGCACGCGAACGCGCTCAAGAAGGTCCGCGACAGGGATTTCCTTTTCCATTCTTTGTCCGGCAGTGATTTTAAGTTCTAGTAACAATTCAGGCATACAGAGAGGACGACGAATTGTATCTCGAGAGTGATACCGACGAGCAGCTGCTGCTCTACATTCCTTTCAATCAGGTCGTGAAGCTCCATTCGGTGATGATCAAATCCCCTGCCGACGAAGGTATAGCGCGGTAGATTTTTCTTTTGTAGCGAAACTTAAGTTTTTTGTGTTTTGCCAGGACCAAAGACGGTCAGGCTCTTTGCCAATCGCCAAAACATGGGTTTCAGGTACGAGGCTATCGTTTTCTCTCGTATCATGGATTGATTTGTCTTTGCATTCTTTCAGTAATGTTGGGGATTTTCCTCCAAACGATGTGATCACTCTGACCCCTGAGCATTTAAAGGTACTATTGTTTGTTCTTGCGAAGTTGTCTTTGTGACACTCGATCTCTTGAAACAGGGAAAGCCAGTGCTGCTCAAGTACGTGAAATTCCAAAACGTTCGAAGGTAGAGTACGCATCGAGCTTTCGTGTCCAACCCGCTAATTTGGATGAAGTGTAGCGTGACAGTCTTTATTGAAGACAACCAGAGCGGTGGAGAAGTGACCAAGCTGCAAAGGATTTCACTGATAGGAAGCACGTAAGAAAGCAATTCGAAACTAGCCACTTCTTGCGTGTTCTAACGCTGTTCCTTGCGTGTGTCGCAGCGTGGAGACCACGAACATGAGCGAGCTCAAGAAAATAAACAACGAGAACCAATGACCATTCATCATTTAATTTCTGTACATCGCGCTGCTAGCAATTTTTCAAATAAGTCGTGAGTTCTTTCTTCTTTGCTTCTTTCTTCTCTATGCGTGTGGAGTGTTGATCACCATGTAGACAAACAAGCAGACGATCACGCTGAAGCCCGCGTATGTGAACTTTGGATCCGTCCAGGCATCCAGCGTTGCTCTCTCGCTCTTGCGAAACTCGTCCACTTCCTCGGTGACAGAAAAGTTCCTGTGAATTGGTTTCCGAGAAACGTACTGCTCCATGTTGAAGTTAAACAGAGGCTTTCTTCGAGTTTCCGTTTTGTAGCTCGACCAAGCCTTGTCCCAGTCGGTGCCTGTGCTACTTTCCTCTGCGAGAAATCAATCCAACGCCGTGCTGTGATCAGAGAAGGAAAAACAAGAGGAATTTCACTCACTTCCATCGCTTGTTGAATCACTTTGATCGCTCGGATCACTTCCAGAGGCCCTGGCTGTTAATCTACTCCATCGCCTCGAGGATTCGGCTCTAAAGTTCTGTGCAAGAGAGTTGTTCTGGAAAATTCTTTTCACTCATTCTTACCTCGACAGCCCCCACTGGGGAAGAGTTGAAGCCAAATCTCTGCGTTGCAGCCATTATCACTTTGATCGATCGAAACGAGAAATTTGTAGAGCTCTGGAAGAAGTTAAAAAGGGCATGTGGCACGCGCTCTCAGCCACAAGCACTTGCCGGGCAGGCCCGTGTTGGAGAACACGTGGCACCCTTTGTCAAACACGTCAGCCTAGTTTTAAACTCCAAGTTTAATGAATCAAAAATCTACAATCATCACAATCCATTAAGATTTAATAATAAAAATGCACAAGATCAAGAGAAAACAAATTTCAACAAGAAAATAACAAAAAAGAGAAAATTCAAACTAAAAAATCAAACTTAATCAAATTTGAAGAAAAGGTGAAATTCTTAAACTTCACAACCGTAAGTTTAGGTTTTAATGTGTAAAGTTTGTGGATCGCTTCGAGAAGGCCAAGCTCGTGCTGGATGATGTTACTCGCCAGAGAGGCTTGAGGCAAGGGCCGTTTCTTGTGTGCGATGGCGTGACCGAGGAGGAAGCCAAGGCGCTGCTAAACTACGAAGAGATCACGAGGTATCGCGTGCAATACGAGAATGGCAGCTTGTTGGTGTGCGGGGACAACACTCATTTCCATAGCCAAGCTCGGACGTGGATGGCGGCCACCCTCATACCCGAGACCGGCATGAGGAGGGTATGTTTTGGGTTCCCTCATTTGATCCTTTCCTCCTTCCGCTGTACCCGAGAGGAGCCAAGAGCAGCGACGGGTTTGTGGAGCCGATCGTGGTGGGAGAAGTTGCGTTCACCAACGAGGATGATGCAATCTTGGAGAAGAACTTGCTCTCGCGCTTGAGTCTGTGAATCTGGTGTTTGCGTTTTCTCTCGAGTACGACGAGATGGCTCGAAAGGGGAGCTACAAGTTTTTTGTGGGGTGCCGGTCATGGGGCAAAGGAGGTTCAAGATGGCTTTCCCCGCTGAAGAGGTGTTCAAGCATCCTGCTCTGGAAGATTTTGTTCTGGAGAGGCAGGGAACTGCTTTTGAGATTGATCTCGAGGGCTTCGTGGAGCATATGGATTCGTGCACGGACATCTACTTTTGAAATCCTAGTTTGGTTTTTGCTTGGCGGCCAAGGGAAAATTGCATAAAAGCCCGCGATGTGCCGGCTACGGCCTGGGACGCGCTGGATTTCCAGAATTCTTGTTCTTGGGGTCGCGATCGATATTCTGCGATGAAATCGTCGCGATCGATAGTCCATGTACGCAAGTTTCTGAAACGTTCCTAGTCTGGAGCTTCTGGCGTAGAGCTCCGCTGGCCACCCTTGACCGGTCTTGGTGATAGACAAAGTCGTGAGGATCGTCGAGCCAAGGATTTACACTGATGAGATCGGTTTCAACGAGAAAGTTTCATGAGCAACTCCGGCTTATTTTAAATCCCAGCTAGCCTCGTCCCTGCAAGAACAGCGCATTACGTAGCTGACGCACTTTCGCTCGTCTGCTAGAGGACCTCTAGTCCGGGAAAATAAAAAAACACTAGAATGAATACCCTTGCCCGGGCCTCCAGAAGAAAACGAGCCACCTCCTCCAAGAAGCGACTAAAGGAAGAAGAAACAATGATTGAGCGTAGACATTCTTCCAGTAAGCTTACTTGTAACACGGTTGCCGTGACAGCATCGCGTTCGTTTCTCCAGCCACCAGGGATTTCAGCGATGGAAGCCGATGTAGTCTGCTTAAGGAATGAAAGATTTAAATCTATCTAGACTTCCAATGGAACGATGAAAGAGAAACTCAAAGCCGCCACTTCACAGGCTCTGGAGGAGACACCAGAGAGGCATCCTCAAACAAAGGTTTTACCAGCGACCCAGGGAAAACCATCCGTGAAGCGGTATAGTTTGCCTACAAAAGATCCACGCGATTAGAAAACAAGAAGAGAGGAACCCACAAACACGTGAAGTCCTTGGATCTCTTCCCTCAAGATGTCCACCTGTGATCCGAAAGGAAAAAGAAAGTTCTCGAAGATGATCAATCAACCAGAGAGAACGAGACCTGTTCTTTGATTTCCCCCGGGTTCCGGATGCTATCCACAATCTCGGGAACAAAGCTCCTTATCACATCTAAGACATTTGCTCTCGCGAAGCAGATGCAAGAACATTACCGCCGATGGCTTCTGCTTCGCAGACAAACCTCAAGTGCCCGGTTTCGCGTTCCAGAATATGGCTCACGCCAGAGTTGAAGGAGTCTTGTGAGAGCTGCCGGAATCAACATCTACACAAGAGATGAAACGACTTTGAGCGGAGAAATCCATAAGCTGTTGAGCGAAGAGTTGGCTAACTGCCCCTTCGTAGCGACTTGGAAACCCTATACAGTTACAGGGAATAAAAAACAGAGCGAACAAGCGGAAAGGACAGTCAGCCGTGACTATGAATTCAAATGCTATTGTGTATTCTCAATTGTAGTTTAGTATAAATATTATAAATTTAAAAAAATTAAGGTTATGGCAAACTTAATTTTATATTATATTTTCATAACTCTCTGCATTTTATATGGATAAAACTGTTTTGGAGGAGCCTTTTTATCCAAGAATTTAAATATTTACTATATGTTATTATAGGTAAGTTTGTCAAAATATAAAATAAAATGACTCTAATATTAGTAGTTTCAACTCTTGAAATATTTCTTCTTAAGGTAGTAATTCAAGAATTAGAAGCTGTAATATTCATCCTATTGCACAACATATCCAAATCACTCAAAAGATAGAAAAAAAATAATGTGTGAATGCTCGGAATATGGGAAGGGAATACAGAAAAATGTGCATGTCAATCAGTCTAAAAACCTTAGCTTATATACAGGAGTGAGTGGTCCGGATTAAAACTAATCTAATGATTACCAAAATCCTACTACGCTAATATTAGTATACGGCATCGTAGCTGTACACTTGGCCTTCACATCATCCCCTCCTCTCGGAATAATGGAAGACCATCAACGTTCTCTTGTAGATGGGTTAGGATCTGAAGGAACGTTAAGAGGAGGCATTGGTAAATTTGTAGGTGGTATTAATTGTTTCTGATCCCTTTGTATAAAGCATTTCAACTGTTGAACATGCATAATCTCTAGAGGATTGGTTTGGTGGATGTCATGCCAAACTTTATAAACTTGTGGTCCAACTTGCCATAACACTCGATACAGTCTTTTTCACTGAGCAAGGAGTCCCTTAGATAAACCACGTATTGTAAAATGGGGAAAACGGACTAACACTAAATCATCCACTTTGTACTTTACAAGTGTATGATGATAGGAGTTGTAGCGCCATTATTGTCCCACTTATACATGGCTTAAGTGTTTGGTAGACTCCGCTTAAACAAGTG